ATGGAAGGGCCCCTCTGAGCCTGGCAGAGGAACCCCCCAGCCCTGGCCCCTTGGGCACCTCTCTCTGGCCCCTCCCACCTGCCCCCAGACCTGATCTCTGGGCTGGGGACTTGAAAGCTGCAGCCAGTGCCTGGTAAGGCTCCTGCCGCCCACCCACCCCCAGCCCCTGCCCCCCGCCAGCACAGCCTGGCCAGAGCCTCCCCACCCCCAGCTCTGCCACCACCACCACTGCTGCTGAAGCCCTGCCCTACATGGCCCAGCGCCCTCAAGCAGAGCCCCCCGGCCCAGAGGCCGCAGCCGGAAACACTACCTCATCCAATGTGGCAGAGGGGAGGCCTCCTTGCACCAGCCCTGGATCGGTTTCTGCGTTGGCCGCCACAATGTTGTCTCCGTCTGCTGTCACCCAGAGAGGACTCTGGTGGCACACGGTTTCAAGCGGTGTCAGATCGTGGTTGCTTGAGCGGCTGCTGGTGGAGTGGGCAGTGCCCACGGCCCGTGGGCAGGCTCCGTGGGCTTTCCCACAAGCTGGGGCGGGCAGAGGACGAGGGGACAGGTGCTGAAGGGAGGGGAGGGGGCTAAGTTGCACCAAGGCTGTAGCTGGGCTACTTGATCTTGCTGGAAGTGTTTCTAAAGATAGCACCACTTTTTTTTTTTTAAAGCTTTTATATATTAAAAAACTTCTCACGCGCCAACTGTGAATAGCTGCCGCTTGTGCAGAGGACCCGGGGAGGGGTCCCTAGGGGCTCCCAACATAACACTGGAAATGACTGTTCCAGAGGACAGGCAGACCTGGCAGAGACCCCCCCCCCCCCAAAGGCCTGAAAAAAAAATCACCCATTCTGTTCCTGTCAGAAGCAACCCTCCGTGGCTGACCCGGCTCCCCCTGCAGCAGACCCAGCCAGCACTGGGACTGGCTCTGAGCCCATGGGGGCTGGGCTGGAGGGGGCGGCTGGGAAGCTCTGGAACCTTCTTTATAATAAAAGCCTGATGGGAAAACCTGCGTGGGCTCCAGCCTTTATCCTGAGATGGCCAAGGAGGGAAAGGTGAGCTTGTAGTAGAAAGGAGAGGGCAGCCAGGTTTAGAGCCCTGCCTCCGCCATCCTCGTTCACAAGCTTGGGCAGATACCTTAGTTCTGGGAAGGCAATGGCAGGATTCAGTGGGACAATGTCTGCTTGCTCTGGGCCTGACCCATAGCCGACCTTCCTGAACTTGGAGGGCATCCATGGGACCTCCAGGAAGATGTCATAGCTGCCATATGGGTCCTGCTCCTACTTACCTTTAGAACAGGCCTGTGAGGAACAGAATATTATGCCCATTTTACAGATGTAGAAACTGACTCTCAATGCAGTGGAGGAATTCCGCCCCCCACCCCCGCAGGTTGTATAGCCAGGGAGCAGCAAAGTGGGGACACAAACCAGGTTGCACGGCCTCCCTATTCTTCTCATTTGTGCTTCCTCCAGGCGGTCTCCACAGTGGACCCCAAATGGGTGGGGAGGTCAAGGTGACTGTCCTAGGAAGACAGCTGATGTTTACATATGCCCCTTGAATATCTCTTCAATCTTGAAAACCCCATTTTTTCACGTGAGGAAATACGCAGTTTCCCCAAGGCCAGTGTAACCCTGGACTGTTTCCAGTGGGGCAATCTGTTCCTCACAGCAGTTAACCTTCCTCAGGGTCAGCACTGCCACAGAACCCCCGGCCCACCCTGCTGGCTCGGGGCCGAAGCTGGGGGGGGGGGGGGTGTGTTCAACGCCATCCCCCGGGAAAAGGTCATTAGCAAACTGGCTCCCAATTAGAAGCTACTCAAGTTAATTATTTTTCCGTCATAATGGGGAAAAAACTAAGCATACATTTGTCAAGAATAAGAACTAGGACAGAAAAATTCATACAATTGAAACAAAATCCCACAAATACCAGTTCTAGAATTAATGAGAACAGAGAAGTGAGAAAAGAAAAATAAACAATTTTTAGCTTTAAAAATAGCCTTTTCCTGTACTGGCTTCGGGGTGGGGACAGATTCTTTATCTTTTCAAATTTTCTATTCTGAGCACTGATTCCTTTTTATTAAGCAGATTTTCTAATTTAAGTTATTGACACATTTGATAGGGTTTGTTTGGTTTTTTTTTGGTGTGATTTGTGAACACAGGTTTCCTGCAGAAATGTCAGGAAGTACAAAAAGCACTTAGAAAATAAAGCTATGCGAACCCACCCAAGGTCAATGTCTCAGAGAATGTCGGTCCAGATTGTGTGCCTGCCTGGGTCGGGGGCTGAATAAAATTCGGGACCAGGGTGTACACACCATTTTGTAACCTGCCTTTCCCCCATGCAACAATATGTCAGTAACATCTTTCCGTGTCATTAAATATTCTGCAGCCTGTTTTCATGCCTGATTAACATGCAATTCCTTCTTGAAGTTTCACAACACATTTGCACATGGAGGAAAGCTCTGGTTTCTGGGGTCATTTCTCAACACGGAAGGTGCGCAACTTCTGTGAATTGTCCACAGTTCGTATCTGGGGCCCTGAAGACTTGCCTTGCAGCCTCAGGAGTGTCTTTGCTGTCCGAGGGTCATGGGAGGTGGAGACCTTCAGCGCAGTGTCCTCAAGCGGGGAGGAGACTCGTCCGTGTCTCACGGGTACTGGATGCTGCCCGGCCTCTGCCAGGCCAGGAATGCTAACCCGCTCCTAGCTCGTGGAGTTGTGAGGCCCCGGAATGCCGCCCCAGAGCCTGGCCGGGTGCCTCCCACAACCCCCTGCCAAACCATGAAAGGAGCAGAGGCACAACCAGACCCTCTCCAAGGAAAGTGCTGGCCCAGCCCCTGCCATCTGCTCAAAGTACCCTCGGGGCCCTGCTGGCAGCCACACTACAGATACCCCAGGGAGGCTGTCAGCACAGCTAGAAAAAGCCTCATGTGGGATTCAAGGAAGGAGGGTAGGGTTTTGAAAGAGCAGGGACAGGAAGGGAACTGCCTCATGCCCCATGCTGGCCTGCCTCAGTTTCCCTTTGACTCCCATCTGCCCTCTTTCCCAATTCCTGTCCAGTTTACCTCCCTCTCCCTTCTAACTCACCCATTCTCTCTCTGCCCTGCCGGTGCTCAGTGGTCACCACTTTGACCACCTCTCTGCAGCCTCCTGCCCGAACCAAGTCCTCACCCCAGGAAATTGTCACTGTCGAGTTACCAGGCTGTGTGGACCCCAAACTGTAGACTCATCAGTGACCCCTTTCTTACATCCAACCCTTCAGCAAATTCCATGCTCCTGTCTTAAACTTTTACCCAGAATCCACTACTTCTAAGCCCTCCCCTCACCTGGACCCCTGCTGCAGGAGCCGGCCTCCCACTGTTGCCCGTGTCCCCTGCTGTCAGTCTGCTGCTCAGGACCCTCTAATGGCTCCTCCTCACAATTACAACGAAAACCAACGAAACCCAAAGTTCTTACCCTGGTTTACAAGGCCCTTCCTGGTCTACCCTGCAGTCCTTGTCACGGTTATCTATTGCCACATAACAAACCACCCCAATGCTCAGGGGCTTAAAACAATAGCATTTATTTACAGTAGTTCCCCCTTCTTTGCGGGGGATGCATTCCAAGACCTCCAGTGGATGCCTGAAACTGCACAGTATGAACCCTATATATATTGCGTACCTTTCTAGACGTACATTCCCTTGATAAAGTAATTTATAAAGTAGGCACAGTAAGAGATCAACAAGTAATAACAGAGCCATTATAATACTATACTAGGATAAGAATTATGTGAATGTTGTCTCTCAAAATAACTTCTTGTGATAATGGGAGATGATAAAAGGCCCATGTGGTGAGATGAAGTCAGCAAATGACGTAGGCACCCTGACGTAGCATGAGATTACTATCGACCTTCAGCTAATAGGTCAGAAAGATCACCTGTCTCCGAAGCATGGATGACCACAGGTAAATGAAACCACACAAAGCGAAAGCGCAGATAAGGGGACACTACTGTCCATTGCCTGTGCATCTGCAATTGGGACAGGGTTCGGCCATGGTGTCAACCGAGGCAGCTAACTACAGCCAGAAGTTCTGGATCCAAGGGGGCACACTCCTACGACTGGCAAACTGGTCAGGGATTGCAGCTGGGGCTGAAAACTGGGATATCTCTGTTCCTTTCCACCGGCTTCTTGGGCTTTCCCACAGCATTGTGGTGGAGTTCTAAGAGCAACTACCAAAACCAAAACCAAAACCAACACTACACACAGGGAGTAGGAGCTGCCAGTCTCTTAAGATCTGGGCCCAGAAAGCATCATAATGTCCTTTCCACTACATTCTACTGTTCAAGCAATCACAGAGCCCAGATTTAAAGGGCAGGGACGTAGACTCCACCTCTCCATGGGAAGAGTCTCACAAATGTCACAGCACCCTGGACCTCATCTCCCATTACTGCCCCCTCATTGGACTTGAGCCACATGGACCTTCCTCCAGCTCTTTGAGCCTGTCAAGCATGATCCCACCGCCGGGCCTTTGCTTCTCCCCTGCTTCTGCTGATTAGAACAGGGCACTGCTAGGCATTGAATCGTCTCTGGCTGCTCTCAGCAACTCAAACCCACCTCTCTGCAGCCAGAGGGCTCTTTCTAAACACATACTACTTTAGTCTTCCCCCCTTGCCTATAACCCTCCCTGGTACTCCACTGCCCCCAGGAGAAAGTCTACCTTCCCTCGTCTCCCCCAACCCTCACCCTTACCCCCACCTCATGCTCCTCTCAGAGCCACAAAACCCTTCCTTCTACCACAATGTCCAGCCCCACCTCACATGCTGGGTCCTCTGCCTGCAGCATCCTTCCCCTCAGCTGTCTCCTGCTCATCCTTTAAGACCAAAAGTTGCCTCCTCCAGGAAGCAGTCCCAGATATCAGGCTGGGTTTAACACCCTTTCTGTGCCTCCACAGGCCTTGAACCCTTTACATTGTACAACCTGTCTCCCTGCAGGGCAGGAGTTCCTACCTGGGCCCAAGCCCCAGATGGCCAAATCCTTGGACTTCAGCCTCTCCTCACACCAATTTGTGAGGGGAAAAACACCTTTATTGATAAATAGGTTACAATGAAATAAATAGAGTAATGGTTTTTTGGGAAATAAAAACTTGAGCAGAATCTCAGTCTCTCTCCACCCCAGCTCTAGCTTTCAGCTTCTGTTTTCTTACTGGCCAGTTTGGACGACGAGGCCTTGGTGGGCATGCTGGGCTTTCTCGGGCCCTTGGGGGCCCCCGTCTTCCTGGCCAGGGGTGCAGGCACTGTCTTAGACCCACTGGCCCTAGGAGGAGCAGTGGCCTTGGCTTTGGGCCCCACCTTGGCCCCACAAGCAACAACTTCTTTAAGGACCTTGTTTTCTTTCTTTTTGGCTGGAGAAGCAGCACTATTCTTGTTCTATAAGAAAGCAAACCAGGGGCAAGATGACAGAGCCGGGCAGAGTTCACACATAGCTCAGAACCCACGAGAATAGGGCTGAAATCCCAGCTCCGGGTGGCTTTAGACAAGGGACCCCGCCTCTCTAAGCCTGTCTCTTAGTTGTGAAGTGGGGAGAATGATCCTCAGGACACTAGAGGGCCAGACAAAAGTCAGTGAACTGGGCTTTGTACAAAAGCAAATTACCCCCTGCCCCACAGTCCCTTCCAGTGGGACACCCATGCTCTGGCCTGCTCAGCACGGAGACCCAGACCAGGGGAGTCATGCAGGCACCTTACCTTGGGGACCGTTGATTTTGAATTCTGACTCCCAGCTTTTGTTTTCCTGTGGGCCTCACCATCTGTCAGAGAGTGAGGGAGGGAATGTGGGAAGGACCCCTTTCAGGAGGAGCTGCTGGTGGGCAGAAGGTTCAGAGACCCCTGTCCTCACCTTGTCACTCACAGGCTCTGTGACCTGGGGCAAATTGTTTGACCACTCTGAGCCTGGGTGCTCTAGTCTGCAAACTAGGGATAACAACATCTCTCACGGGTTGGTGGGGTGGGTGGGGGGAGGGGGCGGCGGGATTGACTGGACTGTGGAAGACCATCCCTCACCCTCAGCAAGGCACAAAGCAGACACCCCCTACTCTGCACTCACTCACAATAAAGACCCCTGACAGGTCTTTATTAGCCTCTAGTCTTTAGTCTGTCTTCCACATGGCAGCTGTGAAACATTTTTAAAAATACCCTGGGAGTGCCTGGGTGGCTCAATCAGTTGAGTGTCCAATTTCTGCTCAGGTCATGATCTCACAGTTCATGAGTTCGAGCCCCACGTCGGGCTCTGTGCTGACAGCTCAGAGCCTGGAGCCTGCTTTGGATTCTGTGTCTCCCTCGCTGTCTGCCCCCCCCGCTTACACTCTGTCTTTCTCTCTCAACAATAAACGTTAAAAAAATTTTTTTAAATACACACATACATACATATGTACATAAATAAAACAATACCCTGTACCCTAGCTGTTCCCCAAAGTCCTTCCATAGCTATTGCTTGTCCTCCAGATACAGTCCAGACTCCCAGCTGCCCTTCACAGTCTTTCCCTTCTGCTTCTCATGCTGCACATCGAACTATATGCACTTCTTCAAAAGCTCTACCCTCTTCATGCCTCTGGGCCTTTGCGCAGCCTGTTGTCCTCCCTGGGACACCTCCTCCAGGAAGCTTCCCCTGATTCCTCTCAGAGGAGTCAGGCTCCTCCTCTCTCTGGGTTCTCCCTTCCCTAAGCCTACCCTCCACAGCTACCATGGGTTCTCCAACTCTCCAGGTCAAGACAAGCACTCAGGCACATTTACTAGATAAGGAATCCCCTCCCCAGAGCAGGCCTCTCCCTCCTTCCTACCTCACATCCAATGGCTGTCACAAATCCCTGTGCCCAGGCCCTCCTCTCACCCCACTCACACACCTACCTTGGTTGCTCCTTCTGCCTTTGACCTTTGACTTTCCTCTTGGGCCAGTGGCACTGGGAAGGTCCTGCGTGGCCTTGTCTGGCTGTTGGGAGGCCTTCTTGGCCTCACTCAGTCTTGCCTCTTGGTCTTTGGTCTGGCTGCCCTTCTTGGGAGCCTTCTCCTTGGCTGCATCCAGTTTGGTAGGACCTGTCCTCGCCTCTCTTGGCTTCTTGGGTCCCCTTTTCACCTCACCTGGGTTGGGAGGGTCCTTCTTTGCCTCCCTTGGTTTTTTGGGACCCTTCTCCTTGGCCTCACCGGGTTTCCTGGGGGCTGTCATGGCGGATGTCTTCCTAGATTGGGCTTTCCTTTTGTGCTTGGGAACTAACTGGTAGAGGAGAGAGTGGGGTAGAATGGAGAGCAGGAGGTCTCAGGGTCTCATACCCCTACATCCCACATGAGGCACAGAGAGAACGCCTTGTTCCAAAAGAGGGAGGGGGCAGAGAAGGTGGTCAGGGGCAAGGGGAGCAGGACCACGGCCAAAATGCCTGAGGCTGAAGACACATTCTATCCCTGCACTGCTCTTCCAGAGAGGGGTGTGGCCATTTAGGAGCTGGGGGACCTGAGTCTCCTAGACCCACCTTAGGCTCTCTTCCCTCCTGCCCAGGTGGGTGTCAGGAGGGTGCAGGCGGGCTCCCCTACCCTGCACCTGAAGTCTCAAAGCCAGGCTCCTGGGAGTAAATCGCACAACACCGACCAGGAGCCCGGACTCTAGTCCTCTGAGATGCTAATTCATGAATCTCCCATCCATGACCTCCCAACCCACACATTTTCCCATCTCTGTGGCTCTGACTCTCCTTCCTGTCCCCCACCTCATGCCTCACACCTCCATGCCTCCCTGCCGCTTCCTTTCTCCCCCTTGGGTGGACCTTCCAAGTCTGATAGCTCAGAGTTCCTAACTTCCTGTGCAACTCAGGAAGTCTTCTCTTTTCCCACTGGCCTCAGTCTTCCCATCTTTACAATGGGGCCTTCAGGGAGTGAGTGACCAGTAGGCAGTTGGGGAGGCTCTTGGCAAACAGGTGGTCTCTGTCCTTCTAGAGCCTGCCTCTAAGGACATTCCTCCCTTTGCCCCCCAAATCTTATGGCTCCCCATTACCGTGAAGACCAGAAACAAATCCCCTCTCAGCATACACACATTTCTAACTACATGACACACCAGGCTTCCTTCCCTGCCTCCTCCCCTCCCTCAGCCCACTTCCCTGACTAGCTCCCAGGCCCTGCAGCCTAACCCAGCCACATGCAACCCCAGTGCCCCTGTATTGCTCCCCTTCCCCATACCCTATGCACCTGGCCTTGGCATGGCTTGTATCCAAACTCTGACCTCCACACAGGAGTTCTACGAGGGACTTCCTGCCCTCAGCCACCTACAGGGACTGGAACATGGTATGCTGAGAAAATTCCACAGTGTTCTACAGTTACTGTTAGAGCAACTGCCACGTGCTGGGGCCCAGCAATGATAAGACAGACCCCATATCTGGGTCCCTGAGATTTTCCTGGTGGCACCATGCTGGGGCTTGATTTTATGCCAAATCTGCCCTCAGCTCTGGGTGTGCCTGGATGGCCCCCCTCTGGGACCCTCCCCTTTGAAAGAGGAGGAGGTGATGGCCCAGGGAGGTGCCAGCCCTGGTTTGGAGACCTGGGGTTTAGAGCCAGTGAGCATGGGGAACACACCCAACAGTGACCTTCTAGAGCCCATGGTTGGGTGTGCCTCATCCATGGTGAAGAATTCCAGGAAGGGGCTCTTCCAAGGACCCAGAAATGAACACGGCTGAGACGGTCCCTGGTCACTGAACACACCTGACGGGGAATGAAGGTGGACACAGCAGGGACTGAGGCCCTGTGGGGGGTCTTAGATGGGGCAGGGCCCTAGCCTTCCTGGAGGAGAAGGTACCTCTGAGAAGACACAGGAAAAACACAGAGAGAAGACAGGAGGAGAAAGGCCTCTTGGCAGGGGAACAGCACACAGAGGCCAGGGAGGAGGAGCTGGGACTGAAGCTCAGACCCTGGGGCCCAGCTCCCCCACACTGTGACCTCCCTCAACCCCGTTCCCCAGCCCAAGCAGGCTCACTTTGAAGCTGCCAGTGGCCCCTCTGGCCTTGGAGTTGGTGGGCCTGACCAGGAGGCCACGGTGCATGCCGGTGGCCAGGGCCTGCTTCAGCAGGTACTTGAGCCGGAGGACATCCACCGTTGGGTACTTCTGCAGGATGTAAACCTTGATGGCCGCCACCGAGGTGCCCCGGCGCTGCTCTCCGGCCTGCAGCGCCTCCAGAACCATGCGCAGCACGGGAGGGTGACGGCGTGGCCCTCGGATGCCACTATGGCTCAGGCCTACGGATGGATGGCAGGGCGTCACCCAGAGCCCAGGCCACCCTCGGTCCCAATCAGTAACACACATGCCTGGCAGAGCACCCGCCAGGCACCAGCCAGGCCCCGCAGTGGGTGGGCAAGGGACCTGGGGGATCAAAGGCAGCCCTAGTCAGCACTACTAGCCACTGGCCAGTGAGCCTTGAGGGCAGGGAGTGCTGCTCATCTGGACACTGTCTCCCAGTGACTGACATAGGGCTGGGCACACACCAGGAGCTCCATAAAGATTCACTGAAAGAATTAAATAGTCCTTTTAGAAAACAAAATCCTTTTAGAAAACCAAAGCTTTGCACAGCTGAGGAAAGCATCACAGAATGAGAAGGCAGCCTACTGGAAGGGAGAAGATATTTGCAAATGATATACCTGACTAAGGGTTAATATCCAAAATATATAAAGAACTCCTACAACCCAATAACCAAAAAAAAAACAAACAAACAAAAAAAAAAAAAACCACCCCAATCTGATTAAAAAAGGGCAGAGGACTTGAATAGACATTTTCTCCAATGACATACAAATGGCCAACATGAAAAGATGCTCAGCATCACTGATCATCAGGGAAGTACAAATCAAAACCACAATGAGATAGCACCTCACACCTGTCAGAATGGCTAAAATTAAAGCTAAGTATTGGCAAAGATGTGGAGAAAAAGAAACCATCATGCACTGTGGGGGGGAATGCAAACTTGTACAGCCTCTATGGAAAGCAGTATGGAGGGAGGTTCCTCAAACGTTATTCCACTTCTGGGTATTTAGCTGAAGGAAACAAAAACACTAGTTCAGAAAGATACAGGCATCCCTATGTTCATTGTAGCATTATTTGCAGTAGTCAAGATATGGAAGCAACCTATGTCCATGGAGAGATGAATGGATTAAAGAAAATATGGTATATAGATATAGTGGGCTATTACTCAGCCCTAATCTTGTCATTTGCAACAACATGGATAGACCTAGAAGGTATTATGTTTAAGTGAAATAAGTCAGAGCACGACAAAGACTGTATGAATTCACCTTCATGTGGAAAATAAAAAAATTAAACAAAACAAAATGGAAACAGACTCAAATACAGAGAACAAACTGGTGGTTGCCAGAGGGGAGCAGGGAAATGGATGAAATAGGTGAAGGGATTAAGAGGTATAAACGGCCAGTAATGAAATAAATAAATCATGGGGGTGTAATGTACAGCATAGAAAATATGGTCAATAATACTGTGATAACTTTGTGCAGTAACAGAGGATAATTACACTTGTCATGGTAAGCACTTCATAATGCATATAAATAACTAGGTTAAACTAATAAAATATTGTATATCAATTAAAAATTGATTTTTAATTGACAAAATTTTTGTTTTAATTTTTTTTTTATGTTTATTTCTGAGACAGACAGAGCATGAGTGGGGGAGGGGCAGAGAGAGAGGGAGACACAGAATCAGAAGCAGACTCCAGGCTCTGAACTGTCAGCACAGAGCCTGATGCGGGGCTGAAACTCACAAACCGTGAGATCATGACCTGAGCCAAAGTTGGTCGCTCAACCAACTGAGACATCCAGGCATCCCACAATTAAAAATTGTTTTAAAAAATTAAAGATAAATCCTGGACTATTTATAGATGAAATGATAAGTCTGGCATTTGCTTTGAAATAACACAGTAGGTGAAATAAGAGTAGCCATGAGCTGGTGAGTGTTGAAGCTGGATGATGGGCACATAGGGAAGGGAGTGGTGTGGGTGGTAGATGGGAGCCACTATACCACTCTGTCTACTTCTGCATGCATTTGAAAGTTTTCATAAATAAAAGCTATAGGAGAATTGCACTTCTAGGTATGTATACTCCAGATAAATGAAAACATATGTTCAAATGAAAATTTGTACATGAACGTTCATAACGTTATTTACAATAGCCACAAAGTAACAACCCAAATGTCTATAAACTAATGAATTGAATAAACAGAGCATGGTTTTAACCATGAAGTGGAATATCATCCAGCCAAAAGAAGGAATGAAGTACTTCCTCGGAAACATGCTGGTACAAGAATCCAGTCACAAAAAGTCGCATACTATAGGATTTCATTTACAGGAAATGTCCTGAATGAGACAATCCTAGAGAGTAGATTAGTGGTTGCCAGGGACTGGGGATGGTGGGTGGGTAAGGGCAGAACTGTATTGGGCACAGGTTTTCTTTTTGAGGGCACGAAAAAATTCTAAAATTGCCTGTGGAGAAAAACACACAGCAGTGAATATACTAACAGCCACTGTACCCTTTAAATGGGTGAATTGTATGGTACATGAATTATGGAGATATCTCAATTAGCTGTGATATTTTAAGTTGCCAAAGAAAATAAGATCAAGGGGGTGAGAAGCTGTCAGTCACTATAAGGTGCATAAAAGTGGCTTAATATGAAACCTGATTTAAATGTGATTAGAAATGTTGGTTTCTGAATGATAACACTACAGACCAAAACCTCTGGGATGCAGCAAAGGCAGTCATAAGAGGGAAGTATATAACAGTCCAGGCCTTCCTAAAGAAGGAAAAAATGTCCTAGATACACAACCTAACCTTACACCTTAAAGAGCTGGAAAAAGAACACCACATAAAACCCAAAACCAACAGCAGATGGGAAATAATAAAGATTAGAGCAGAAATCAATGCTATTGAGACCAAAAAAAAAAAAAAAAAAAAAAAAAAAAAAAAAAAAAAACAAAAAAACAAAAAAACAAAAAAACACAACAACAACCAATAGAACAGATCAATGAAACCAGAAGCTCGTTCTTTGAAAGAATTAACAAAATTGATAAACCACTAGCTAGTTTTATCAACAAGAAAAAGGAAATGACCCAAATAAATAAAATTAAGGATGAAAGAGACATCACAACCAACACAGCAGAAATACAAACAATAAGAGAATATTATGAGCAATTATATGCCCATAAAATGGGTAATCTGGAAGAAGTGGACAAATTCCCAGAAACATATAAGTACCAAAACTGAAACAGGAAGAAATAGAAAATTTTAACAGACCCATAACCAGTAAAGAAATTGAATTAGTAATCAAAAATCTCCCAAAAAACAAGACTCCAGGGCCAGATGGCTTCCCAAGGGAATTCTACCAAACATTTAAGGAAGAGTGAACACCTATTCTCTTGAAACTGTTCCAAAAAAAAAATAGAAACAGAACAAAAAATTCCAAACTCATTCTATGAAGCCAGCATTACCTTGATTCTAAACCAAAGACCCCACTAAAAAGGAGAACTATAGACCCATTTCCCTGATGAACATGGATGCAAAAATCCTCAACAAGATATAGCCAACCAGATCCAACAATACATTAAAAAATTATTCACCACGACCAAGTGGGATTTATACCCGTGATGCAGGGCTGGTTCAATATCCGTAAAACACTCAAAGTGATTCATCACATCAATAAAAGAAAGGACAAGAACCACGTGATCCTCTCAATAGATGCAGAGAAAGCATTTGACAAAATACAGCATTCTTTCTTGATAAAACCCCTCAAGAAGGTCTATCAAGAAAGTAGGGATAGAACGATCGTATCTCAAGATCATAAAAGCCATATATGAAAGACCCAATGCTAATATCATCTTCAATGGGGAAAAACTGGGAGCTTTCCCCCCAGGGTCAGGAACAAGACAGGGATGTCCACTCTTGCCACTGTTATTCAACATAGTATTGGAAGTCTTAGCCTCAGCCATCAGACAACACAAAGGAATAAAAGGCATCCAAATTGGCCAAGAGGAGGTCAAACTTTCACTCTTCACAGATGACATTATACTCTATATGGAAAACCCAAAAGATTCCACCAAAAAACTGCTAGAACTGATCCATGAATTCAGCAAAGTTGCAGGATACAAAATCAATGCACAGAAATCAGTTGCATTCCTATACACCAACCATGAAGCAACAGAAAGAGAAATCAAAGAATTGATCCCATTTACAATTGCACCAAAAACACATAAAATACCTAGGAATAAATCTAACCAAAGAGATAAAAAATCTATATGCTGAAAACTATAGAAAGCTTAGGAAAGAAATTGAAGAAGGCACACACACACACACACACACACACACACACACACAGAGGAAGATATCCATGCTCTTGGAAAGGAAGAACAAATATTGTTAAAATGTCAATACTACCCAAAGCAATCTACATATTCAATGCAATCCCTACCAAAATAACACTAGCATTCTTCACAGAACTAGAACAAACAATCCTAAAGTTTGTATGGAACCAGAAAAGATCTTGAATAGCCAAAACAATCTTGAAAAAGAAAACCAAAGCAGGAGGCATCACAATCCCAGACTTAAAGCTGTATTACAAAGCTGTAATCATCAGGACAGTATGGTACTGGCACAAAAACAGACACTCAGATCAATGGAACAGAATCGAGAACCCAGAAATGGGTCCACAAGTGTATGGCCAACTAATCTTCAACTAAGCAGGAAAAATATCCAATGAAATAAAGACAGTCTCTTTAGCAAATGGTGCTGGGAAAACCGGACAGCAACAGGCAGAAAAATGAACCCGGATCATTTTTTTACACCAGACACAAAAATAAACTCAAAATGGATGAAAGACCTAAATGTAAGATAGGCAGCCATCAAAATCCTCGAGGAGAAAGCAGGCAAACACCTCTTTGACCTCAGCCACAGCAACTTCTTACTTAACACGTCTCTGGAGGCAAGGGAAACAAAAGCAAAAATGAACTATTGGGACCTCATCAAAAGAAAAAGCTTCTGCATAGCAAAGGAAACAATCAGCAAAACTAAAAGGCAACCGACAGAATGGGAGAAGATATTTGCTAACGACATATCAGATAAAGGGTTAGTATCCAAAATCTATAAAGAACTTATCCAATTCAACACCCAAAAAACAAATAATCCAGTGAAGAAATGGGCAAAAGACATGAATAGACACTTCTCCAAAGAAGACATCCAGATGGCCAACTGACATACTAAAAAATGCTCAACATCACTCATCATCAGGTAAATACAAATCAAAACCACAATGAGATACCACCTCACCCCTGTCAGAATGGCTAACATTAACAACTCAGGCAACAACAGATGTTGGCGAGGATGCGGAGAAGGAGGATCTCTCTTGCACTACTGGTGGGAATGCAAACTGGGGCAGCCACTCTGGAAAACAGTATGGAGGTTCCTCAAGAAACTAAAAATAGAGCTACCCTATGGCCCAGCAATTGCACTACTAGGCATTTATCCAAGGGATACAGGGATGCTGTTTGGAAGGGGCACATGCACCCCCATGTTTATAGCAGCACTATCAACAATAGCCAAAGCATGGAAAGAGCCCAAATGTCCATCAACTGATGAATGGATAAAGAAGATGTGGTATATATATACAATGGAGTATTACTCGGCAATCAAAAAGAATGAAATCTTGCCATCTGCAACTACATGGATGGAACTAGAGGGTATTATGCTAAGTAAAATTAGAGAACGCCAAATATCATATGACTGCACTCATAGGACTTTAAGACACAGAACAGATGAACACAAGGGAAGGAAAGCAAAAATAATATAAAAACAGGGAGGGGGACAAAAACATAAGAGACTCTTAAATATGGAGAACAAACAGAGGGTTACTGGAGGGTTGTGGGAGGGGGATGGGCTAAATGGGTAAGGGGCATTAAGGAATCTACTCCTGAAATCATTGTTGCACCATATGCTAACTAACTTGGATGTAAATTTAAAAAATAAATTAAATTAAAAAAAATAAAGAAATGTTTTCTGATCAATTTGCAAAACTTAAAGACTTTTTAAAGAGAATCAGTTAGTTAAATATACATAAATATATAATTTTCCCCCAAACACATATCGAAGTAGAAAAAAAAAACAAACAACACACCCAGAGACTCTAGATGTCAAGCAAACGTAGAGACCTAATCCAATTCAACCATTGCTGTCTCCTGGCCACGAAGAGCCCAGTGTCTGGGAATATTCATTTTGGGGCCAAAGTTTGTGAATGGGTGGAGTCCCTGGTCAGCCACCTGCAGGACCTTGGGAGTTTCACTTTCTTCTCCTCGCTTCAGTCTTCCCATCTGTGTAGTGGGCATAGAGCCCCTAGGGAATCTGTACCCTCCCAGCTACAGTGTCCTCCAGCCTGGCCTGTGGGAAGTGTTCTAACCCTTCCTCAGCTTCCCCAAACCAGGCCCTATCCCAGGGAGCCACCCCAAGTCTCCTCTGTCCCCAGTCCCTGCGGCTGAATTCAATTCCTTATTACGCATCATTCAATGCCTGCTACATCCTGGGAGGACCAGAAGTCATAGCTTTTCCCCAAACTTGTCCTCCATCTTCTCTCCCCAGGAATGACACCACCACACCTACCCAGACACCCAAGCAAGAACCTGGACGACCTCCTGGACCTCCCTACCCTTCCCCACCACACCACTCCACCCCTTCCTTGTGGGATTCTCTCTCTGCCACCCCACCCCGAGGGTCTCAGCCTTCTTCTCATATCCCTCACCTCCTGCTGGCCCTCAGTGTAAGGGTCCAAGGCCCTGGCTGAGGCCTGGGAGGCTACCCCTTCCTGTGATGCCACTCTGCCCCTGGCCAGAGCAGGGCTTGTGAATAACTGGATGTTCCCCCAGCCCCCTCACCTCTGGGCCTCTGCCCATGCTCTTCCCCCTGCCTGGTTGGCCTTTGTCCCCCACGGTCATCAGGTAGTTCTCGCTTTAAGGCCCATGATTTATATACCGCCCTGACTTTCCAAGCCAGGATGAGCAACTCTGCCGTGTGCTCCAAGGCACCTGGAGCCCACCCTCTAACTTTTCCTCTGAAGGAGTATTTACTCATCCTCAGAATGCTTCCCCTGCTTCACCCTCTTGTCCTGGATGAGGTTTAACCCTCTTTCAGTGGTCGCCTCCTCCAGAGAGCCTTCCTTGATCTCCCAGAGTGGGTCGGCAACTGCTCTGGGTTCCTAGAGCCCTCTGTATTCCTGACATTAAGGCGCATGCCCAATTATCAAATGGGATCTCATCAGTGAGGCAGTCTAGCTCATCAGACTGGGAGCTCCTGGAGGGAATGAACCTATCTATATCCAGAGAAACACTGAGGCATTGTTTGTTGATTGAAACTTGGGATGCAGCCCTGAATTCAAGGCCCGACTCTGCATCAAATGCAATGTCCCTCCAACTAGCTGCCCTGCAGCTGCGGCCGGCCACCCACCCTCCCCACCAAAAGAAAATGGGCTCCAGCTGGAGAGGCCCCGCTCTGCCCGCTTTCCTGGAGTTGGGCCAGCCTCAGCCCCCAGGCTGTACCTGGCCCTGCTACCTCTGGCATCAGCTCTTCTGCCAAATGAGCAGGTGAAAATTCAAACGGCTTCCAGGATGGGTGCTGGGGCCAGGAGCGGAGGCTGGATGACAGAGGAGGGTCCAGAACATGCAGGGAACCAGCTCACGAGGACCCCACCTCCCTTTGCCTACCTGGCTTTTCAGACTCAGACAGCCCAGATGACCCCACTGCGGAGGTCAAGGATGCTGAAGAGGTGGAGGTGTCACTGGAGGCAATGCTCCCAGGAGCCATTGCACGGGTAGATGCAGACACAGATGCAGGTAGTTGACCCCCTCCCCAGGCATGAGGCTGCCAGGCCTGCCCACTCCTCTTATATATCCACAGCCTGGCCCCACCACTCCAATTAGCCCCTGATTGGGCTGGGAGGCTCTGAGCTGCTGATTGGGGCAGGAGGGCTGGGATGGGGCATTGCAACCCTGCCTGTGTGCCGACACCCCAGCTGAGCCACCCACTCCTGGGTGACCTCATATGAGTCAGTTGACTTCTCTGCGTCTCAGGTCCCATGGCAAAATGATGGGTGCTCAGATGCTTGATCCCTCCTGCACCCTCTGACTCCACGGGGCCTGGAGATGCTGATGGGGAACTGGGCACACCTGGGTTGGGGAGGTGACCACTGAGGCCTCCAATCCCACCTGCCCCAGGGCTGCTCCTGTTCCCAGGCCACTGCTGGCCTTGGTTTCTCAAGAAGTTGGAGGCCCACTGGTGGGGTTTGCCTGGAGCTGACACCCCCCAATCAACCTGTGGCCTCCTTTTGTTTTGTTTTATAAGAAAGAATTTTTAAGGGATGAATGAGCAATTTTTAAATAAAATTGCCTAGCAAGTCTCCAGAAATAAGTATAACCATTGATAAAATGGACAAAGAATATGACTAGGCAATTCACCGGAAAGGCTGATAATAAACCCAAGAAAATATTCTCGACCTCCTTGGCATTCAGGAAAATTCAAATTGAAACAATGATGAGATACTAGCTCCCCATCAAATTGACTAAAATTGAAGACAGCGTAGGCAAGGATGCAGGGAGCCTGGCCCTCAGTGCCTCTGCTAAGGGTGTAAATTGGGGTGCAGTCTGCTTTGGAAAGGTATTCCCTTAAACTCAGCAATTGCACTTCTCTGTCCTAGAAGTGCAGTAGTCAGAAAAGAAACAATTGCTACATTATTTAGAAAAGAAAAAAAAAAAAAAGAGAACTTCCACATGAATCACTGGAGGCTTGACTGAACTACTCCCTTCTGCAGAAAACTCTGCAGCCATTTGAAATGATGAGGTGAATTAAAACAAGGATGAGGTGGTTATGGCACACCTGGTAGAATGACAGATATTTAAATTAGATCTATAGATGCTGAGTGTCCAGCACATGAAGAAACACATAGCCACTGGGAGGGTAAGCTGGTAGCCACTCTAGAAAGCAATGCAGTGACATCGAACATAACTAAAGATAGATTCACACCCCCCCATGGCACTGTGGGTATAAATCTGAGAGAAACCCTTACACCAATAAAGATCCTCGCTGCAATCCCAGCAAAAATTCAAAACAACCTAACTACCCACCAAAAGAAAGGCAGACAAGTAAACTGTGGTCTAGTCACATGGTGGAGTAGTATAGAGCAGTGAAAATGAACGAACCAGAGGGGCTCCTGACTGGCTCAGTCAGTGGAGCATATGCAACTTGTGATCTCAGGGTTGTGAGTCTGAGCTCCATATTGGGCATAGAGACAGAAGGAAGGAAGAAAATACATAAATAAATAGATGAATGAATGAATGAATGAATGAATGAAAATGAACCACAATGTGTCCGTGGAATATGCGCTCCCTTTCTGAGAAGAAAGAATTTGTGTCTGTGCAAGTATATGTGTGTGTGTGAGTGTGCATGCAAGTGAAGGCATAGAAGAAGGTCTGAAAGGATTCACACCAAGGTAATAGCTTTGGTTACCTCTGAGGAGGGTGTAGGAGTTGGAGGGACAGGTTTAAAACAAACTTCCATTCTTCCTTCCTTCCTTCCTTTGTTGTTGGGATTTTTCCAGGGACTCTCCAGCACCAGAGTCTGGATTGAGGGAGGTGATGGCCATCAAAGTGTTCTAAAGTGAAATCAGAGATCACTCCTCTCCTGCCTAGCACCCTTCATAGCTCCCTACTGTCTATGTGTGGAGGCTTGACCTCTTTTGTCCTGCTTATGGAGCCCCTTTCTCCCTAGAGGCCCACAGTCCAACCTCTGTGACTCTTGGAATGGGCTAGATGTTGAGAGCTGGGCTTTCTTCTGTGTTTCCTTTGTGTGTGTGTTAGATGGATGCAAAAATGTCCCCAATTTCTCACCCGTGCCCATATCCATGTCCATTTGCATGCAACTTTGCAGCTCCTCTCATACTCTTTAAATATGAGCTGGCCTTGTGACTTGCTTTGACCAACAGGATACGATGGAAGTGATGCCATGGCAGTCCCAATCCTGGCTAGCCCACTGGAGCTCAGAGGTTCGCAGCTCAGTCACCCCTGCCACCCAGCCCACAGCTGGTCAAACGGCCAAACCTCCAGTTGACCATGGATGCTTTAGAGATCTGCAGAGATCAACCAAGTTGAGTCCAGATCAGCAGAACCACCTGGCTGACTCACAGTCACAAACAACAATGGTGTGTTGTTTTAAAACATGAGGTTTGGGGTTGTTTGTCGTGCAGCATAAGCTAACTGATCCACTGCCTAGAAGGCCCTTCTTTACCCCCCACCTACCTTCTCTGGACTGTTTCCTACTCATCATTTTGGCCTCAGTGTAGCTCAGAAAAGCCCTCGCTGACCCCTTAGGAGGTTAGGGTCCTCTCCTCTGGCTCCAGCAGCCCCTGGGACCTCCAGCACTCTAAGTTCCCACTCGTCCACACTAGCCCCTGAGCTCTGAAGGGCCCTGGGGGTAGGCAGAGCTGTGTTCGACTTGTTCTGGTGGTATCTCTGGTGCATAGCACAGTGCCTGGCACACAGTAGGGGCTCAGCACCCATTGCTGTGGAACCCCAGTGCCAGAGCCCAGCCTGGCTGAATGAAGGGAGACCTGAGAACCATCTGCAGGAACCACATTAGAGCGGAAGGCGAGATGAGGCAAAGAGGCACATGGTGCTGGCACACACAGGGGCAGCAATTTTGATCACATTGTGGGAAATTTCCAAGAATTGAGAAATAGAGAAAAACTTGGAGATACAAACATTCCCATGAGCTTCATGTGAAACCCTGCTCCCAGGCTGTGCCAGGATAGAGTTTTGCATTTGGAGGGGAAGAAGTTCTAAAATGCACTGCAGATCTAAAAATTCTTCTAGAGCATTGCCTTTTTACAGGGAAATGATAACTGTGAGCATCAGATGCTGGAGAGAGGGCGGGCTGCTTGGTGTACTTATTTGACGCTTATTGAGGTCTGTAGGGAATTTAAATTTCTGCTGACAACTGTTTTACCATCTTTGAACATTGAATGGGGGCGTCCTACATGTGAACTTTCTCATAGGTCTGAAGATTACATTCTAAACTTTTTGAAGCAGTGATAGGGTGTCTTGTTTTGTGTAACTCTAGCCCCTGTAGCATCAGGACATTTGTGACATTAGTCAACAAATGCATAGAGGGCAGGGTAGATATGGTAATAGCTGCCACGTTCTACGTCCATATACATATTTTATATTCGCTATCTTATTTATACATGAAGACACTAAAGTTCAGAAAGGACCTGTACTAAATCTTCCTGAGTCCGGACCCTAGGCTGCAACATGGAAGCGCTCTGTGTTAGTGAGGAAACCAGCTATAATTCCAAAATAACAGTGGCTTAAACGAGAAACCATGAAGTCATTCTCTCATGAGACTCTTCAAGTGCAAGTTGTGCAGGACAGGAAGGCAGCATAGAGGACCTGCAGTCTCCTTCTCGCCTGATGCTGTGCTGTTCTCTGCCCACGGACTGCACCTCATGATACAAGATAGCTGCTGCAGCTCTGGTCATCACGACCACATTCCAGCCATCAGACAGGAAAGAAGAGAAGTGAAGGATGCCTCCATTCTCTGAAATGCACAACCCAAAACTTCATATACTACTTCTGATTATACTTCACTGGCCAGACCTTAATGTCATACCACTGCAGATGCAAAGGAAACTGGGAGGTGCAGTCCTGCACTGGGTAGCTAGGTGCCCAGCTAGAACTTGATGTGATATTATTAAAAGGAAGAAAGGGAATAAATATTGGGGGCAGTTAGCACTTGCTTCCCCCTTTCCTGAGGCCCCTTTGCTACTTTAATTTCTTGACTCTCACACCAGGGGCTCTATCTCCTACCACTCCAGGGGCTGCTCCTTTGAACTTGATTCACATTTTTGGGAAGGAAACTCCTATTTATTGAGTGTCTACTGTGCACTGCAATTTTTATAGCAACAATCTCGTTAGTCTGTGGACAATTCTACCAACTGAGATGAGTCTCCTCTTTCAAGCTCAGAGGCCTGAGACCTAGTGAGGTTCAGGAACATGGTGTGAGGTTGCAGGGCTGAGAAGGGCATGCACTGTCTCTCTGGGGCCACCCTGGGACGTCAGGGGTGCATGTGCCTACTGGGGGACATGGGGCAGATTGCCATCAGGCTTTGCTGTCTCTGTGGTGGTATGGGGGTGGGAGGCTTAGTTCATACTCTCTTCTCCCAGAGGTAAGATCAGGGGTGAGAGAGCTCTGTGTCCCTGTGGCTGGCCAGGCCACAGCCCAGAGACTTGCTACCTGCAACCCATCTCTGAGTCCCCAGCTCAGCCTGGCCTGGGGTCAGCTTCCTAAGATCAGGCTGACTATAGATGTGATTGTATATAAGAGGTGTTCCATAAACCTGTTGGCTACCTGGAGCTTGGAGACGAGGTGGGTAACACCCTCAACCAAACCTAAGTCAGCCCTGCCTTGCCTTTATTGGCAAATGTCCCCAAGTGCCTGTCAAATCGGTTATAAATTAAGGAGGGAAAGAGGTTTTCCCCTCTACCATGAAAAAACAGAGACTTCTGGCTAGAGAGTTAATTTTTTCCTCTGAATATGTAGCTAAAACAAGGATACCACTCCTCAGAATAAGTGGACTGAGGTGGGGCAGTGAGGAAAGAGGGCTGCCTGCAAAGCAAGCATGTCTCTCCCATGGCCATGCCTGGCCCAACACATCAGAAATGGAGAGTGAGATGTGCGGGACCCACCATGGGAATCTTCTCCCCTGGGTCCCCAGTGTGGGAGGGAAGCCTGGTGTAGCTGGACATCACCTACTTAGACAGAGGCCAGCCCCTCTGGGCCACCGTTAGTTCTGCCCACCCTGTCTCTGGGCCTCTTCCTTTTGGTAACGACACTCCCCCCCCCCACCCCAGGAATCTTTTGGGCTCCTTCCAGTCCCCACCCTCACTCAGACCATTTGGTTTATCTAGGGTTAACCCTACCTTGGTCTGAGTGATCAGGTGACCCAGCCCTGGCCAATGAGAGGCTACATCCCCATCCCAGCCTGGTGATAGGTTTAGGGACAATGAGGTGACTCAAGCCGGGCCTATCAGAGGATGAATCCCCATTTTAACCTGGTGACAGGATTAGGAGTGATCAGGTGACCCAGACCTGGCCAGTGAGAGCCCTACCCAGGATCTTTGCTGGAACTGTCAGGAAAAACAGCTTACTTTCTGCAAGGCTAGCTGAGCTTGGGACTGCTGGTAGCCCTTTCCAAAGCCAACAGAGAAAACTATAATCAGAGGGGAGATACAGAAGTCTGATAACATCTGAGCACCTGCATCTAGCCGTGCCTGAAGCCCTGGGTTTTTTTTGTT